CAAGTGTACATTGAGTTGTGTGGGGTGGGGGTAGGGGGCGAGGGTCTTTCCAGATAAACACCCACTTGACGAAATTTAATGCTTTAAAATGGTGGCAGAGATTCCCCCGAGGGAATGTGCTTATAGAAGAGTGTATCTAAAAGTGGTGTTGAAGCAGTCCATGTGTACAAATCTGCATAGCCTTGAACATGCTGATGACATGAGATGTCTGCATGAGCAGGGGCAGTATGCAAATACATGCAGGTAGGACATCCTATTATTGCATTTGGCCCAAATGCAATGACTGGGTGAACATTTTTGGTCCTGTGATTTTCACAAATGATAGGCCCATATCATGCCATAACCAAAAGTTTTCAAAGTTTTCATGCCATAACCAAAATTACAAGATGGCAACCTGTGACGTACCCGGCGGGGCTGCTCACATCCTCATCATTTGGATTTAAGCATTTCTGTGTCAACATATAGTTTCAAAGCTAGCTTATTGCTAGCCTCTCCAAAATTGCCAACCCTACCTTTGATAGACCAATTAAATCCCACAGTCTATGAAAACGATATACTTTTTGCATCCCATTACATAACATTTTTAGAAACAAAACATTAAATGCACAAAATGTTTGTTCTAATAAACGAACATATCATTAAGCATAGATTTCAAACCAATTATCTAATCTATCCTACATAATCCACTGAACTTACATTGATTGTATGTACTATACATTTATCAAAAACACTTAGCCTACAACCGTTACCAAATCAGTTTTACAATTTTATTATTGGATAAATGTTGTAGGTCATTTGTTTACGGTTTATTTAAAGAGATTGAGGCCTACCTTTTTCATTTGAAGGTAGGCCTATCGATCAGCTCCATTTTTATCATTGGTCAGGCTCAGGCAAACAAAATCTCAAGTTTAATGGAAAAAGTGTCTTTATTTAAAGGAAAATTTTTAAAAGTGTACCATTTAAAAACACCAAACAAAATAAAATCTACACTTGGTCAAAGCTCTGACTTAAAACATATATTCACCACCACAAGCATATCGGTCCTTATGAACAGGTGCTCGTTCTGCAGGGCCCACCGCATTCACAAGAGCAATGCGCGCCTAACAAAACTCCCCACTTCACGAGTCATTGGACCGGGAGCTTCTCTCAGCCTCCTCCCGCTTATCTGATCCTGAGGCGGAGGTTCACGAAGTGAGTCTCTCCTGCAGCCCAGCGTCCGTTTCCCGTAGGCACCTGTGGTCGATTGCCAGTTATAGCCGTCCGATTGAATCTAGAAGACCAATGTGATTCAGTTTTTATTTTCATTTTTAATTTCAATGTTGATGTGGAATGATTGTTTGCACACACACACACACACACACCTCTGTTGCGTCACTCTTTGGATTTCTTCTCAGCGTTCTGGAGTTTCTCCACAATTTTACGCTCGTGTCCACCGGGGTTCGGTCTGTTCGTGTTGCAACTCGCCTCCTTCTTCGTCCTGCCCTTGCGAGTAGTGCACTCTAGTGAACAGAAAACAAGAACGAGTTCACAATTAGAACCAACAAACATTATGAAGAATGTCGACTAGCAACGAACGCGCTTCAAGAAATAGCCTAATCAGTGTTGCCCAGCCCGTTCTCATCCCAAGGCGTCATAAGCGCCAGATCACAAAAAGCCGTAACTGGACTCGACTCTCAAAATAGGATACTTTATGTAAAGTTCATAAAAGTTTAAAAATGATTACTACAACAACAATAACGCTCGTTGACAACCTACCGGTATAACGGTCTGTTAAGTTATAATATTCATATTCATCGTAGTAGCGGTCCTCAAAAGTGGTCGGTTCAATGTTTTTCACCTCAACGTGGTTACTCATTTTGACAGTGAATAGCAAAACCGGATCAGAACGGAACAAAAGTATAGCTCTGGACAAAAAATACGATGACGAGTTAGCTCTTTCTACGTGTCTTCTTTCTTGTCCTCCTCGCTCGGTTCAGCGTTGTTGTTTACAAGCCTGCAAGTGGCCGTCTTTTAAAGACGTGGCTCCGCCTTCGTTTCCTTCAGCTCCCCGCCTGCGGCCTGTGGATGGGTCAACATGACCAGAGGGAAAGTTGCATCAGATCGAGAGGTTAATGTTTGATCAGTAGACCTCGCCTGCCAGACAAGATGTCCTTCAGGGCAGATTACATTGTTTTTGTTTTGACTTGCACTTTTGTTTTATATTTTTCACTTGATCTCAAAACTTAGGTCTACGCATAATGGACATGCTGATCATTTTTATTTCAGTCAAAATAGCTCATTAGTTTGGCCTTGTCTAACATCCCTATTTGCATTAACTCTCCCTTTCTCTGGGTGTATTTGATCATATCTGATAAAGAGTAGAAAGATTAGATTAATTCCGTTAATGTTTGTCTCTCCGTGTTATTTAGGCTACACCTGACTTTATGTTCAGACTTCTCACGTCCCTCTGTGGACTGTGACCCGTTAACCTGCTTCTGTGTTTTCAAGGAAATATTTTGCACATTTGTCTTTAGGGAGTATGCGAAGCTCATTTCAATAGCCTTTTGTGTGAACTGTAAATGTCTATTTACATTTTCTTTTAGTTTGCTTATTCGTTGTTGGAGATACTCCAGATGATTAGTTGCCTAATTTCACTGACTATCAGGGAAAATTGTTTTTGGATTGCACATGCTGGGAGAAAAACAGCAGAAGAAATGTATTTTGTCTATATTATGGTGTGCCTTTGGCTAGATTCACTGTGTCATCATTTCTAATTCAGTTTATTCTCTTTGTCAGTGGTGCTTGTGTGCTATACAGGCGCATGAAATGTGTGTAACCAAGCATAACAAACTGCATACTGGGAGTTCTTTTCTGTCATCAGAACAGAGGATCATAGGATGCAATCTGCCACAATTGGCAAAATCCACATCCTCCACTGGCAAAGCAAAGCCCAATCCATCATTCAAGATTCTTCGGAGTCCGGCTGCCGGCTGTTTTGTTCCTTGCTGTCAGGCAAACATTAGCACCATCAAAGAAAAGACCAGCAGACTAAGGATTTCACCCCGCAGTTAATAGACTAAATAACATTAATAGGACATGTTCAAAGTGGTTGCTGGTTAGCATGCCTTGTGCCTGCTGGTTTGGCTCATACATTCAACAAGTACAAGGTTCAGAGGGCAAAAAGCCCATTGCCACAGCCATTCAAAAGGCAAAATAAATGAATACTTATTTATTTAATACCCCCCCCCCCCCCCCCCTATTTTTCTCCATTTTTCTCCATAAGGCACTTCAGTGGGAACCTAATGGTACAAGGTCCAAAAGACACTTTCAGTACAAACTGCAAACTGTTCAAAGGGCATTAAACGATTCCAGACGATGAATAAGGGTCTTATCAAGCGAAATGATCGCTCATTTAAAATAAATAATAACAAAGTTGAAGTTTTATAAGCTCAAATGTTCGGCTTGCTCTGTTCTGTGACGCACGTTGTTTGTGACTCTCTTGTTCGAACTCGTCCATCAAAATGAACAAATCTTTTTCCGAGTCATTTGGTTCATTCAACGAACAAAACGAACGAATTGACTCGGAAAAAGATTCGTTGAGCAAGGCGAGCATTTGAGCTTTTACACTTATTCATCGTCTGGAGTCGTTTAAAGCCCTTTGAACAGTTTGCAGTTTGTACTGAAAGTGTCTTTTGGACCTTGAACCGTTTGATTCCCACTGAAGTGCATTATATGGAGAAAAATCATGGAATGTTTTCATCAAAAAGAAAGAAAGAAAGACATGGACATATTGGATGACATGGGTGAGTAAATCATCAGCAAAAGTTTTTGTTAAAGTGAACCACTCCTTTAAAAAATATAAATACAAATAATAAATATAGCTAAAGATAAAGACTTTTACATTCATTATATTTTTTGTTGTCCATATTAATCTGAAGTCTATGCATCATGTATTTATTGTTTTACATGTTGTACTGACATGCTCTCTGTTTGGCACTCTGTACAAGCACAGAAAGTTCTGAGTCATTCCAGTGGAATTTGGCAGAGTTCTGCTGTGGATATTTATGGGCAATGTCGACGTTTGCAGTAGACTCCCATGGTTCTGTGCTGTTGTAATGAGAGAGTATACAACAGATTCAGTGCTCAAATATCCCAAGATGTATTGTTTGGTTACCAGAGTGCATGAGCATGAGAAATGAGAAATACTTGACATGACTTCCAAAGTCAATAGGCTATTGAATTTAGCACACGGGTAAAGTAAAACCCAATGTAGCTTATTCTGTTTTCTCTCATAAAACAAAACCTTTTTCTCCCTAATCTCTTTAATTTTTTGCTCTACACATTCTTTTCTTTCCCTTCCCCTATTTGCCTTGCACTGTTTGTCTTGGCTCTCAAAGTAATATCATGTGAGAGTGCAGCGTGCTGTACAGTAAATATTTACAAAGTTATTGGCTGAGCCAACATGCATTCGACAACATAATTTCTTCGTTCTTCTTGCCAGACCAGGATTTCTGTGCTAGATAAACCACCACTTATCGCCGTCTGTCTATTTTGTTTTTCACCCTCCCCTCAAAGTGTCACATGAGGGCTTATACTCATTTAATCTTTAACAGATTAAATGTTAAAGTGTTAAAGTTAAAGTTAAATGTGACAATATATTGAAGTAACAGTAATTAACAATTGGTAGTTGTTATGTTTCTCTCTAAGGACTAGTTTCACAGACAGGGTTTATATTAAGCCTGGATTAGGTCTTAGTTCAATTAGGGCATTTAAGCACCTTTTATAAACGTGCCTTAAAAAACATCACTGGTGTCCATCTTGAGATAAAACAATTTTTTTGGGCATTATGAATAAAATAATTATTATAATGAATAATGAATAAGATTAATAAAATAATGACATTATTTTAAGATAATGCCAATGCAAGATGCGTTCAGTTAAAACATCTCAAACATGAATTTGATCACCCCACCCCACTCACCCAGTAGTTCTTTTTCAATAAGGCGTTTTGAAAACATGCCATGAAGTTTGTCCCCTCAATGTGTCCGTACGAGGCCTAGCTACAGAGCTATCCAATCAATGCAAAGTGAAAACAAATCCTAAAATGCGTTTAGGAAAGCACAACTTTAATAAATAAATGTGTTTTGATCATAGTTCGTGTTCTTATACACAAGGTGAATCTGGAGAGCATCGCGAAACTGTGTGTTTGAAGGTGAGATTCACGTTTTTCTTGCTTATCTGTGCGCGCGCGGAGGGTGTGATCTGAGATCCATCCAATCCATGGCGCTCTTATGTATGTAGATTTTAGATTAATAAAAAATCACGTAAACATAAATGCATTATTATTAGAATCGATGCATTATAGCAACATTATCTTTGATGTGTGCTATGTGCGTGGTGGTGCTGTTTAACTGTGGAACATAATGAAATGGGGTTAACACATAAACATCTATATGTATGTATGTGTGTGTGTGTGTGTGTATATATATATATATATATATATATGAAGAGTTCAGATGCAAAAGCCTCTAAGTGCCATTTGAAATTCTCTTCTAAAATAATCATTTTATCAAGCTTCTATATTTAAATTCAGTAATTTCACTTAAATGGCAATTCATAGGTAATCTTCATTGCCATTTAAGTGAAATTACTGAACTTAAATATACAAGCTTGATAAAAATTAACATTCTTGAAGAAAATTTCAAATGGCATTTAGAGGCTTTTGCATCTGAACTCTTCATATATATATATATATATAAACTCAACTGGAATTACTTTTTTCTTGCAGATACAATGGCTTTAGTTTCAGCAGACACCAAAATCGCAGAGTTGCTGAATGAGCTGCATCAGCTTATAAAGCAAACTCAGGTGAGCACTAATGTTACTCTGTTTCCCATGGATGATCACTGTAGTTTGGGTTTATATGCCTCGGAAAACACCCCAAACCTTCACTCAGTGTTTATACACTAATCTCTCTTAAATACACAGGAAGAGCGATCAAGAAGTGAGCATAACCTTCTCAACATCCAGAAAACACATGAAAGGATGCAGACAGAAAATAAGAGTAAGGCATGATTTCCTATTGCATTGTCAGATGCAATCAGAACTTTTTCAAGCAATAAAGCATATTATTATTTCCAAACTGGATCTCTCTCATATTTATATATTTGAATTTTATTTCTTGTCTTATATCTTTGTTCCATACTAAAAATTTCAATATCTTTCTCCTCAGCTTCTCCATATTATAGGACAAAGCTGAGGGGTCTTTACACAACAGCTAAAGCTGATGCTGAGGCTGAATGTGGGTAAGGCTGAGGCTGAATGACTGTTGCTGCTTTTGGTTTCCCTTGCTGCACCGCTTTACTTTAATGCAAAGCATGCATTTTCACTGTGATAAATATGTAATGACCACGAGATGATCTGTTCTTGACTTTATCTTTTTCTGTGTTGACTTTTTGTTTTTCTTTTCATAAGAAACATCTTTAACATCTTGTGATTATATAGCCCCATCTTGTGGTAATTTTGCCCAAGGCTTTCAAATGTGTTGATGGCAAAGACAGACTTTTTGAACATTTATTAACCCTATAAGCCTGGCTGACTTTATATTTGGTTGTCAAATTTCTAAAGACTCTAAACTATCTACATGATCAAAACTTTTCTGAAGAACCTGTTGTACACAGTCTGCTACATACATTTTATTGACACGTCTTTTTTGTTGTTGCTGTGAAATATTTACTGATTTTAATAAAGTATATGTAATAATAACTTCTATATTGTTAGTAATATGAACACTTACTGAACTTCAGCAACTTAGGTTTACTTTATTATTCATATTCCAAGTTCTCATATTTCATACCTGCTGTATCAAATATGAAACTCGACACTCCCCCTAAAGGTTCAATAAAAAATATTGTTGTTGTTTTTTTTTGTCATGTGTAAATGATCAGATTTATCTGCATCCCTCTCACAGTATTCTTCACCGGGCACTTGACAAGATTGCTGAAATTAAATCTCTGTTGGAGGAAAGACGGATTGGTAAGTTTTGGATGTTAGTTTGTAAACCTGTGCATCTGCGTGCATTTGAACAGTTATGGAAGCTAATCGACCCCTTCTCTTTCTGCAGCTGCCAGGATGGCAGGAGTGTACAGTGACACCGACCCACCCAGGAAGACCATGCGCAGAGGTGTCCTGATGACCTTGTTACAACAGTCAGCCATGACCCTTCCTCTTTGGATTGGCAAACCTGGCGAGAGGTACCATTCAGTGTCTCCTGATTTATCTCTTATGTTTCCTTCGTTTTAGAAATGGTCATTTATTGAGTCAAAATGATTGCTACATTTCACTAACTCATACCCGTCGTTCTCCTTCAGTCCACCACCACTGTGTGGTGCTATACCAGCAAGCAGTGACTATGTGGCGAAGCAGGGGGACAAGGTGGCGGCACGTGTGAAGGCTGTGGATGGTGATGAACAGTGGATTCTTGCAGAGGTCGTCAGCTACAATCACTCCACTAACAAGTAATCATCTACCAGTTAATCTCCAGTTGATCTGTTTATTTATATTCTCTTGTAGCTTTAAAACCTGATGGTGTGAAATGATAACGTAGCTAACCTTTTTAATCTTTTATCAGGTATGAAGTGGATGACATTGATGAAGAGGGTAAAGAGTAAGTACAATGCCATTTTTTAATAATATTCACCCACATCTAAATTGATACATTACTGTTCAAAAGGTTGATACATTTAATCAGCAAGGACACATTAAATGTATCAAAAGTTACAGCAAAGACATTATAATGTTAACAAAGATTGCTATTTCCTATTAATTATGTTGTTTTGCGCCTAGAAATGTAATTAAATGTAATTAATTAAATAAAACATAATAACAAATGTTTCTTGAGCATCAAATAATTAGAATTATATTCTGAAGGATCATGTGACACTGAACACTAGAGGAAGGGCCAATCCCAATTCTACCCCTTACCCCTTCACTTTCCCCTTCCCCTCCGTTTTGCGCGTCCACGTGAAGGGGTAGGGCTGTCCCAATTCTCTTTTGGTTGGAGGGGGAAGTGTCACTGCTAACCCAGGCTGGCTGCCCAAGCGACAAAGGACCCATAAATTTAAATATTTGTGGCTTTAATAAGTATTATAACGACAAATAATGATTTGCTTTATGTTACATTCAATATTGTGTTCATATTTACGGTCAGTTTCTTCACAGAAACGTTTGTAAAAAAATCGCTAAAATTACTGTAGTTTGCTAGTGATAGTCCCGCAACATATTTTCGTCGTCTCCGTTGTTTCCTGCGAACTTCACAAGATGCAAGAAAATAGCTGTAACCCACGCGACAGATAACTGCAGCTGTCGACGGGATCTTGGAAGTTGTGATAAACATCGGCGCATTTCCTGTGACGTAGGCGCTAGCGACGACTAATAATGACGTTTAACGGAGGCGTAGTGGTGTCCCATTTCTTAGGGGAATATTTTCACCCCTACGCATTGCCACTCTGTTTCAAGGGTCAAGGGGAAGGCGAAGGGGTAGGGCTAGGGGAAAGGGAAGGGGTAAGGGGTAGAATTGGGATTGGCCCTAATAATGCTGAAAATCCATTCAAATAGTGTTCATTGTCCCTCTTTTTTTCACCGTCTCTTTTTCCCTTTTATTTAGGAGACACACATTGAGTCGAAGAAGAATCATTCCTCTCCCACAGTGGAAAGCAAACCCAGAGTCCGACCCGGAAGCCCTGTTCAGTAAAGATCAGCTGGTGCTGGCCCTCTATCCACAGACCACTTGCTTTTACAGGGCTCTGATCCACACGCCGCCACATCGGGTGAGCGAAACGAGAATGAAAAGAGTTAAAAGGCTGAGATGTCATCACGATTTCTAAAGATGCTTCTCTAAACCCTCTTGGGATTAATGTTGATAGCCTGTTAGAATATTTCTTAACTTTATTATGGGTTTTATGGCATCACTGTGTATGAGTAGAAGAAGAATAGATTCCATACTATATGACGCATCTCACTTCTTTTCCAGCCCCAGGATGACTACTCCGTGCTGTTTGAGGATACATCTTATGCAGATGGTTATTCTCCACCTCTCAACGTTGCTCAGCGATATGTAGTGGCCTGCAAAGAGAACAAAAAGAAGTGACAGAAATATAAAACAATGGGACATTGTTTGCAAAAAGACCCTGCATGATTGTTGTGATTGAAAACAGGATACTGAGCATCAATTCTGTTTTTATGTGCTTTTGTCCCCTTTTTTATGTATATAGTGTTGGTATATTTTCTACTGCATCTTTTGTATTATGTTTTTTGTGGATCTGGATACAAAGAGACCAACTGCAAGTGAATTGTGCAAAAAAGTAATAAACCCCTTACATGTGAATGGAAGGCATACAAAATCTGTTGTCTTTATTTTATAAAGGCAGAGCAAAACATGTTTTTAAATGTTAAAAAAGATATTGAAAATTAGATTTTGAAAACACCACATATACAGGGCCACGCATTATACATATTCATGTTGAATATTTAGTTACATCCTTATTGTGGTGCATTACATTTTTGAAAATGAACATTACACCCCTCCTTGACCTTTTCTCTAATATATTCATTCTATAATTCAACACTTTTAATATTGTATTATAGAATAAAGCTGTTATTCTAATTAAGTAATTTCCGTCTCGAAAAACATCACATAATTTTTAAAAGAAAAAATTTCACCTCATTAATAAAAGAATCAAGCGTTTAATGGGTGAAAGTGAAGACTTCTCAATGGAGTAAATTGTGCAGTTAGTAACTTTTTACTAGTTTTTATTAGTAACTATTTACTAGTAACCCTGTTCTGTGACGTCACTCTGACTCGCCAAGTGCGCGCACGGAAGAATGAGCGCGCAGAAGCCGACTATGGCTGAAATGGTAAGATCATGGTAATGGTTTTGTACAACATTTATTCAGGATTAAATTTAAAGAGTTACTGATACCCTGTACATTTTGAACGGACACGAGGTTTGAAGAGTTCTTGTCAGAAACCTATCTGAAAATGTAATCTATAACTGCCTGTCGTGTTGTGCAATAGCACCGCTGGCTAGCTAATCAGTTGTCATATTGATTAATGTATACAACAACAACAACATAGAACATGTAAACCACTTTCAAAGGTTTTATTCAAGTAAATGTGTAAGTTTTAGGCTCACGTTAGTTGTACTCAGAGATATTTCATACGGTTATGTTTACATTCAAAAACCATAAGTTAAATCAGCCTCATTTGGAGTTATTAATAATGCTTAGGTCATTTAAACATTGTTTTATCCGGTTTACCGAACAGTTTCGACTGTAGCTGTTAGACAAGTCAGTGCAAAACAAACCAGTTAGTTGATTATTAGATTATTAGACAGTTACCTAAATCTACTTTTACTGTTATACCAAGTATTGAAACTCAAAATGAGATGTAATGGGAAATATACTGTCTTGTTCTCCCAATTCCAGGTATCAGACAGTGTCGGGGATAAGAGTGTTTCCATTTCAGAGTCAGACCCTCCAAAGCAACATCCTCGCAAACGCCGACGCATCATCGACGCCTCGTCCATCACGAACGTGCCTGTTTACTCCAACAAGGTGGGTGTATCTTGCCTGCTTAAAATCAAAGCCAGTGATGGCTTGAAAAATATTGAAAAATATAGTTGATGACCTTTACCACGTTTTAAAATATGACTAATCTAGATGCACTGGAATTGATGTGTTGCAAGGGGCAAACAAAGGTGATTCAGATGTTGTATTATTGTGTTTTAGGTTAACAGCTCGTTAAATCTGAAGCCAATAACCTTCAAAAACACCAGACTCACAGGTATCAAAACTTTCGGACTACTGTTACCTCTGAGTAAATCACATTTTAAACACTAACAATAATTGTTTTGGGGGGATGGGTGCTTTTGAACTTTATATTAATCAAAAAATCCTGAAAAAAGTATCACTGTTTTCAGTTTTTTACAAATCAAGCAGCACAACTGTTTTCAGCAATGATATTGAAAGAAATGTTTCTTGAGCAGCAAATCATCATATTAGAATGATTTCTGAATGATCATGTGACACTGAAGTCTGATTTTCTGCTGAAAATTCAGCCTTGAATCACAGGAATAAAAAACGGTTATTTTAGATTGTAATAATATTTCACAACATTACTGTTTAACTGTATTTTTGATCAAATAAATGCTGTTCATAATATCATTATTATAAGAGACTACTTTTCTTTCATAAAAAATATCATACCAACCCCAAACTCTTGAATAGTTGTATATATCTTGCCTTTATGTAATATTTGCTACCTGTGAGTGAAGGTTTCTCATTACATGTGGACTCTTTATTATAGATATTTATCATTTTGTTAGTAGGATTAATCCAATGGCATCCTCACTATTTTTCATTTACCATACCAGATGAGGAAAAGGGTGGCCCTCTTTGGTCTCCTTCCCCACCCCGTGCAGTGAAACGGCCAATCAGCATTGATCTGAGTGGCTCAGAGGAGGAGCCAGAACAGAGTGAAGCTCAGTAAGTACACAGACTGACTTTAGTGTAGTGTCTTTAGTTTAGTTTCTATAAAAAGTGAGTCATTATTATAAATTTTATTTGTTTTTGTGACAGCTGCCTCAAAAATTGCTTCTTGACATCCAAATGAATGCCATTATGTAATTATGCCTTTGTATGGCAAACGCCTAATAAATAAATGTGTATACAACATATAACACCTAAATGAATGCAGTGGTCACATGGTACAAGTTTACTGATCGGAGCTCAAGAAGCTCTCAGATAATTCCCAAGTTATAATAACGAGTTCAATGAGGACGTAAATGCTTCTTACATGTTGGAATCTCGTAATTACAGTAATTACCACATGGGGTGAACACACCTATAGCCAGGCCAGTTAATCAGCTGATTGATTAGCTTACTCAAAGTTGTATCCTTTCATCTAACCACCTTTCTTCCTCACCTTTAGAGAAATTCTTCGTTCTCCCTCTCCACCCCCACCACCATGTAGTCCACCAGTGAAACAGAGCAGACGAGCAAACCAAAAACTACGGTGAGTGACATCATCAGTGAAGAAAAATACATACGTGTCCTGATCTCTCTTGTTCTTTTCATATGCAAAATTTAGTGTTTTAATTCTGTCACGACAGTCAATGATTACCTTTCAAGGAGGATACAGAAATGGATAACAATATTAGAAGTAATGAAATGAACCGCTAGTAAGGCCAGAGAGGTTTGACATTCTCTTGTTCTCTTTCTCCATCTCTGTCCCAGAGAAATCAACAGGAAATTGGATGCGATCGGCTCTCTTGTGTGTCTGTCCCCTGAGCATCTAGAACCTGTCAGTGAATACAGAAACTCTCCATCTCCTGTGAATGACTATGATGATGATGACGACATCATCATCATTTCTTCTGACAGCAAACAGAAAAGACGTACCCTGAATACTGAGGGCAGAGACTCTGCGCGAGAAATTTCACTAAAGTTTCGCTGCAGAACAGAGTTGTACAAAATCCCAATACTCTCTGTAAGTGGAATAAACACATTTTCTTGTATAAGCCACATTTGTTTGGTATAATAAAATATATGAATACATTTACCTTTTTATTTAAGCTGGCAAATAAATGTTTTAAAAAATGTGTCTTTCGATTGCAGACGGCTCCTTTGAGTAAAGCCGTAGAACAGCTGGCCATCAAACTCAATGTCACAAGCAGCCAAATTCTGTTATTAAAGAAAGATATAGATCTCCCTATTCACTCGTCTGTCAGTGAGCTGGGTCTTGGCATAGCTGACATTATAGGTAATAGAAAACAGTGGGAATTTTGAGCTGAATTCATTAGCATTCATCGCAGTGCATTTATTCCACTATTTTTGAATAGATGTTTTTTAATTGGAAAAAACAAAACCTAAACCTTCTGTCTCTTACAGATTGTGTAGTAACAGAGAATAAACAAGAAGTGAGTGACAAACGTAATCTTATTACTGTGCGACTGCAAGGGAAAGAGAAAGCGTCTGTGCAGGAGTATTCCCTACAAAAGGTCTGTACTCTGTATGTCTTTTTGGATGTTTTTCTTGTGCCTTTGTGCAACTTCTGTTTTTGTGAAGGACAATTAGTGCTCAATTTTCATTGTACCTTTTTATTTTTTATTAAGGATGCTCCTCTAGGGTCCATCCTCTCTCGGTATGTCTCTGGTATGGCTGCCAGTGCTAAAAGGAGGGCTAAATTTCTCTTTGATGGGTCAAGGGTCACACATGATCAGACTCCAGCTGACCTGGACATGGAGGACGGTGACGTCATTGAAGTCTGGATCTAAACGACGGACACTATTGATGTTGTTGGGAGTTCTGTACTTTTTCAACACCATGTTCTGTATGCAAGGAGGAAGAAAAAGATTTGTAAAGGATGTCTGACATTTGTTTAAACCAGGGGTAGGCAGCATCAGTCTCGGAGAGCCTTGGAGCTAGAGTTTAGCTCCAACCCTGAAAAAAACTCACCTGCCTGTAGCTTTATTGACTAGCTGGTTCAGGAGTTTGATTAGGGTTGGAGCTAAACTGCAGGACAGTGTCTCTTCGGGACCGACGTTGCCTACCCCTGGTTTAGACCTTCACTTGTGCTGAAAAACAGACCACAGACAAGTGGGGGTTTTTTAGGTTTCATTAACAGCATACATTTGACTTATGTTTGAGGACATGCAAAAACAATATAAAAACTGTTTAACATTGTGTAAATACACCAGAATTATTTAAAATTAATTTTTTGATGAAAAAAATTGATTGAATGGAATATAATAAAATGATAAATTTGTAAGATGTGTTTTTTTTTTGTATGCAGTACTTGTGTCACTAGAATTGCCATTTAGGGGGATTTTACTTTTATGAGAGCATACTATTAAAATCTAGATTAAAAAAATCTATAAAACAATATCGCACTAATTTATTTAAAATAAAAGAAATCGAACAATTATTGATGTTACCTAAAAATCAAATGCTAAAGGAGCAGTAAGTAGGCCAACATTCGCCTCCGAATGTGGGTATATATCAATTATTCGATAAATAAATTTAGGAATTAACAATTCAATCAATACCCTGATATGTTGACTTTTCTGACCCAGCAACAACCTATATTAAATGCAGCAAATATTAGCTTCACACATTTATGTAACCCCAAGTTATATCGGGTCATTGATCCGCTGCCTGCTTTACATTAGTTTGTGCTGATAAAGCACCAGCATTCATCAGCACAAAAAGTAGAGACTAACGAAATACTCAGATTCACTAGTGATTTTGTTTACATCTTTTGTCTTAAAAGTAAATTGCATAAAGAGCGGAATAAAGTTTTTTTGAATACAATTTATAGATTTACCGTGCCATTTACAGTCGCAGATAGAATTACAAATACATAAAATGAATTAAAGTGCTAGTTACATGCAAAAATCAGAATATCGTTATCACTTACGGTTTTAAATCGTATTTATTTTTAATCTTTTCAAAATAGTGTAGTGAGAGGGTGAAAATGACGTTTTGACAGCAGCTGTCGGGAAGGGGGGAGCGCTCACATGACTGTGTGAAGCGGAAGTACTGCGTCATCCCAACATGGCGTCGCACTGAGCTTGGAGATCAGAAACTAAACTAAGTCGGTCAGCTGCACGCAGTTCGCTTCGAGACTCTCCACTGCAATTCAAACATGTTCACACAGGAGGTAAGGTAAATATCCTGAAACATCACTACAAGCCAGAGGGAGCACGGCAGCGTCCAGAAGAACAACTTTGAAGACACCTCTGACGTCGCTTTGCATTTTCCAGGTAAACAAAGTGTAAACCGACCAGTAACGTTAAACAGTCTCGGATAGATCAGATGGGAGACAGTTTATATCGCTCTTTTGTTTAACGTTAGGGTCTGTCAACAATGCTAAATGAAAGGTTGTTCCTTATTTTTGAAATTGAATGTTTTTCTTTTCCAATGTTGTGTTTTTTAAAAGAAAAAAAAACGTTTTCTGTGCCTTTTCTAAAGTAACTACATGAAATACCGCGCTATGTGTGTGTTTTTGCTGCTGTCATTGGAATATGTTGCTTAATCATCATCATGTCTGTACATAGACTAGTAGGTGCTATTGGTCAACACCAGGCATCAGATATCATCAGTCAGCAAAAACCGGTTCAGTTTTACTTTGATTCAGCTGACAATCTGCTGAAAGTAAATAAAGACTCTTTTGACATGTTATCCCACATAAATTATGAAGCTTTTGGTGGTGATTTTAATCTATTTACCATTTTAAACAACCCTAAACATTTACGTTCATAAATTACTTATCAAAATCGTGCACTAATGCCAATCTATGCCCACACAGTTTTCTTGCTACATTTTTTTTTTTCTACTCATCAATGTATTCACTCACATGACATTGTGGTGAGATTAATTCGCATCACGAGCTTGTGCCTAACGTTACTTCCCTCTCCATGTGTCTTCCTAATACATCTAAACTACACTCCTGACAAACTAAATTATAGATATAAATCATGACTTCTGTCACAGTGGAATCTATTCTAGAAAAAAGTCTTCTGGGCTTTAAACAAAGAGCTCTTTCAATATTCATCCTTGTCTTGCTTGTCTATATTTTAAATGGATTATCTCACACAAAACTAAGTAACAGTGGGGATCAAAAGTCCATGTTTAAAATCTTGGTTTAAAATGTAATTTAAACCCTGAAATAAATCATAATGGGATTTTGTAATACAATAAGGTAATACAAATTTTCAAACAAACAAAATAAAAGAAGCTTTGTACCAAATTGTAAGCATTTTCATCAGTCCCATGTTGAGGTTGAGATTAGAATGTGATCAATAATCGTTGTGTTTAATCAGTAGTAGACTTTGCTCTTGAGCCGTTAACACTGTAGGCTAATGTCAATGGTTTTACTTCCCCTTCGGGTGTGATTGTGGTAGATCAAACCATCCATGTTCTAAGGAAGTGTTTGTATTTATATTTATGCAGTATTATTGCTAAGACTTTGATTTGTACTGGCACTTTCACTTTTTGTCATCTTTATACATGTATTTCTTCTGCAGCAGTGATGTCACGGACAGATGTTGCGGACACCACACCCTTCTTCTCAGATTATAATGAGGAGGAGGTGCCGGCTGACAATGGGGTGGGTTCACCTCAGCCCGAGGAGGAGGAGCCTGCCAGTGGAGTGTCTGAGAAGAGAGCTACATTGACTGTGATTGTACTCTGCTACATCAACCTGCTGAACTATATGGACAGATTCACTGTGGCAGGTAACCAGTGCTATTAGATCTCAGCTCATCAGTGCTGCTGCCAGACAATGCTGGCCTCCTTTTCATCCAGATCAAATGCACAAGACAAAGACACAAATCACTAATACCCATAAACAGCATGCTAGTGTGCTTTATGTTCATGGGATTGTTATTTTTGAATCACTTGTAAATCACATTACTAATTCTGAAAATTCATATTCAGTTTTTATGTGTTGTTTCTTTGCAGTGTTATTTTAGTATTTGTTTTTTATAAACTGTTATAGTATTAATGCAAATTTAGAATTAGATTTATTTTTATATTTTAAGTTGTAGTCATTTTTGTTATGTAATTGTGGCATTTATATATATATATTTGTGTTTAGATTTAATTTATTTTTATTTCAGTTTTTAATGCTTAGAGTTATTTGCCTTGGCACCATTTCTAATTTTCATTTTAAGTTTAAGTTGATCATCTAATATTTATTTATTAATTAATATTTATTGATATGCAGAATATTTTTAATTACTTTGTTAATCAAACCTTAACATTTTCGTTCATATATTATTTATCAAAATAATCGTGTATTTCAATGCTAATATTGTAGTTTTTTGTCCAACTTTTCTCCCTTTATTCATCACTATATTCACATTATTATTTTGTTTTAGCTTTATTTCCATAAATGAAAATGATTTGAATAGTTTTAGTTAACCATGAAAACACTGCTCTTTTGAGGTTATGTAATAGTAATAAAATAGCAAAAGTAAAGCAAAAAGAGATTTCTTGTTGGCTGCCTAATGTTCGATTTGCCTAATGTTTGATTTCAAGATTTAAAAACATTTAATGTGCAACAGCATATGAATTGGTCAGTATTAAAGCTGTGATAACAATAACCTTCCTCTCTTTCAGGTGTACTTCCAGACATTGAGCGTTTCTTTGACATTAGTGATGGAAAATCAGGGCTACTTCAGACAGGTGAGCAGATTTATACCATGTAAAATTTGTTTTATTATTATTTATTTAATCATACATTTTTTCATTCACTTTGTTCGATTCTTTATTGCCCTCAAGTCTTCATCTGCAGCTACATGTTCTTGGCTCCCGTGTTTGGATACCTGGGTGACCGGTACAACAGGAAGTTGATCATGAGTGTTGGCATTTTTTTCTGGTGTCTAGTGACACTTGCCAGCTCCTTCATTGGCAAAGAAGTAAGTCCTACACAAAACAGGGGTTAAACCTCACTCTTATATTTGAATACCATTTTACTCCAAGACAAAGCAATAGCTTTCAGTCTGTGATTCGGTGTCTCACATTCTGAAGTGTATTCATGATTTAAAATGTGATTTGTTGAGCAAACTAATAGGATAAATCCTCTTTCAGCATTTCTGGGCGTTGTTGTTGACTCGAGGGCTAGTGGGTGTTGGAGAGGCCAGTTACTCCACCATTGCTCCCACCATCATCGCTGATCTGTTTGTCAAAGAGAAGAGGACCAACATGCTGTCCTTGTTCTACTTTGCAATCCCAGTGGGCAGGTGGGACCACACACACACACACACAGATCGAGAACTGCCAGTCGAAAAACTGGTATTTAGGTTATTCACACTTTCTCAGCATGGTTACATTCTCACACTCTGTCACACACTGTTGCATTATCGGTTTTATTTCACACCAGGAAATTAAGTTGCATTTGTAAGTTTCCAGGCTGCTACAGTTGAGCACTTCTAAGGGCAAATGAGTCACTGGATTTGTTAAATGTTGTTCGAATAATTACTGGGCATTTCTCTGCCAGCATAAGCTGCAGTGTGGACCAGACTTCATCCCAATTCTCATTCAGTTCTGCTGGCTTTTCTTTCCTCAGTGGTCTGGGTTATATTGTGGGCTCAAAAGTGGATGAAATAGCTGGGGATTGGCACTGGGCTCTTCGGGTACGTCTGACGCACCAAACCTTTCACTGTTTATCTGTCTGTGGGTGGACTGCATAATACTCACTGCTTTCACCACAAAATCACACTTGGAGATAAAATATGATGGCAATTCTTTGTAATTTTCTCCCACTTACTCTCATATCCTTTTTCTGTTTGTTTCACTTTCTTAGGTGACCCCTGGTCTGGGACTGTTGGCCGTGATCCTCTTGTTGTTTATGATTCAGGAACCGAAGCGCGGTGCCATCGAAGCTCGCCCGGAGCACACGCTGCACAGAACCAGCTGGGTCGTGGACATGAAAGCACTCTGCAGGAAGTGAGTCACTGAGAGCTCATGTTGCCTCTAAAGCATCATTTATAAGTCATGGCCTTTGCCTTAGATGTCACGCAGGGAAATTTTCAATATCTGATAATGCTGCTTGACCTGACTGAGGGTTTTTTCCTCAGCTATTAAGTTATTACTGCTGATAACACTGCAGCTGAGATATCTAATCGTTAGCAATCACAAGCCATTTTTATCAGATTTCTGGGTAATTTTTTATCATAAAGCTGTAGCTTAAGTAATGCTCTTGGTGACGGAGGTTTCCATTTTTTTCGGCAATAGCCTGAAAGTCAGTGGGGTCCAAAACAACATTGGACCCCATTGACTTTCATTGTGCTGAAACATATATATATATATATATATATATATATTTCAGTTACACAGTGACTGATTGTTTCTTTGCTGAACTAAATGCTTTTTCCCATTTCCCTCTTTTTTTTTTGTTATTGTCTCAGTCCAAGTTTTATTCTGTCCACGTTTGGCTTCACTGCTGTGGCCTTTGTGACAGGATCACTGGCCCTGTGGGCCCCTGCCTTTTTATTCAGAGCAGGCGTCTTCATAGGAGAGAAGCAGCCGTGTTTAAAAATCCCCTGTGACAACTCTGACAGGTACCAGACCCTCATACACACAAATCTCTCTCTCTCTATAGATACACTCCATGATATAGATATTCCATGACATTACCATTTAGAGTACTGCGTTTGCACATGCCGTATTGTAAATGTACTTCTGCTAAGAACATGCACTGGCAATGTTCTTCTAATCTCTTCTGCTCTGCAGTCTGATATTTGGCGGCATCACAGTTTTGTCGGGCATCCTGGGCGTAGCGAGTGGAGTGCAAGCCAGCAAGATGCTGAGGACGAGAACCCCTCGAGCTGATCCACTAGTCTGTGCTGCAGGACTCCTCCTCTCTGCTCCCTTTCTCTATCTGTCCATCATGTTTGCCCAGGCTAGCACTTCAGCCACTTACGTAAGTCACTCATCTGACCTGGCTTTATCTGAAAGCTCTTTTTTTCTATTCCAGGAAATGTTTTTTTTATTGACATCAGTGCGGCTGTTCTAGGGCAGTTTTATGTTGACCATAATAATGGTTTTACCAATATTTTATTTTCTCATCAGGTCTTTATCTTCCTGGGTGAGACATTCCTGTCAATGAATTGGGCCATTGTTGCAGATATCCTACTGGTGAGTTTCCCTTCCTCCCATTTAATCCACTACCAATCCTGAAAAAAAATAAAAAGATGTTTTTTTTTCATTATTCACTCACCCTCATGTCTTTGCAAACATGTATACTAGTTCTTGTTTTTTAATCCAAAATTAGATTTGTTTGAGGAAACGTTAATCAGTTACTGCCATTCAATGAGTTTTAAAAATAAAAATGATGAAAACGGCACCATAAATGTAGTTAATATCACTGGCACACTATATTCAAGTAGTGGAACCACAGAAGGACTTAAAATGATTTAATTATATTAAAAAAATGAATAAATAAAAATATGATTAAAATGCTAAAAATACAACAACAAAATCAAGAAGTCAACTTTTATTGCCCCATTAATGACTATTATTTTCTTTGAAATATGTGTGGAATAACATGAGGACTCTTTATTGATGTCCTTGTTTCTCTCTCTTTCTTTCAGTATGTTGTGATCCCTACACGCCGCTCCACCGCAGAAGCGTTTCAGATTGTGCTCTCGCACTTACTTGGGGATGCTATTAGCCCTTACCTCATAGGAGTGGTACGTCAATCTCACAAATGCACAGAAAAGTTCTGTTAGAAAGACATTTGAGGTTGCATGTGTTCTGTTTTTTCCCCTATTAAGGTGTCAGACTCGATAAAGGAGTCGGACTCATACATGTGGGAGTTTCGTTCACTTCAGATGTCACTCCTGCTGTGCTCATTCGTGGCTGTGGGGGGCGGAGCTTTCTTTCTTGCTACGGCCGTCTTCATTGAGAAAGACAGAGAACTGGCTGAGAACTACGTCCCCTCTGGTGAGTGATATATCACTAATGACATCACAGTCTTCTCTTATATTACAGGCCATTATTATAGGCCATCATTATTTTCAATGAATTTGCAATTTTATATATATATATATACATATACACATATATATATGTATGTATACATACATATATAATGCTTCCAAAATTCACTACACAATAATGAGTCTGTGAAGTGAATGAAGGTCTTTTATTTGATATGTCTATTTAAAAATTTTAAACTTGTATATATTCATGAATGAGTGTAAACTCTATGAATTAAATGAGTGCAGCACGGTGCAATAGTAATATCAACTGAAACTGAATCATATTTTTTTTTTTTACTGCTATTTCTTTTTAAATATTTTAAACCTTGTATGATATGATACATAATCTATGTTTGTTTGTCTGTCTCACTCTCACCTGGATCCGTCTTATAGCGAATTATGTGACCTTAAACAGAATGTAGTGGCAAGTAGGGTTAGGGTTGTCAAAAGAACAGCAAAGTAAACGCACACCTTATGAGGTGTTAAAGTTAAAGGGTAAAACTTGATGCAAAGAAAAAATAACTGCACATTTATTACCAATGTTTCGGCACAAGTAGCCTTTGTCAAGATATAATGTTAAGATTAGCATAAGCTCAATAAAGCACCTTTGTATACTTTTTTTTCAGATTTGCATTTGTATGCACAGTAAAAGTTATTTTAGCAATTTTGAACCACTGAATATTTTCTTTCAACTTTCATGTTCTCCAATCAGTTACTTTATCCTAGTCCTATTATTTGAGGTTGTGGATGACTCCTGACTTAACTCTGTACACAAAGTTCCTCCGGGGGAAAAAAAAAAGTATCGTTTTATTTAACATTTAGTTTTATTGTTATCAGACATCGGTGTTATTTTAATGTAACTGAGATACTATTACTTTTATTACTATTTTGAATTAATTATTATATTCATATTTTCCATTTTAATTTTAAGTTTCATTTATTTTGAGTTTTTGTATTTGTATTAGACTTTAAGTCTAGATTTTATTATTGTTTAGTTTAAGTTATTCTAGTATTATACGAAGTGAAAATGTATAGATAAATGAGTAGTTATACTAAATAAAAATGGAAATTGCCAACTGATGTTTATTTTATTTCACTTTTTTTTTTTTATTTTTTTATGGTTTTAGTTAACTATAACTGACAGCACAAATGCAGTCCACAGCCATCAAGCTTTAAATATCATTCTTTCCTCCTTTATTGGACAAAATACTGATTGGTGGTTTACTTTAAAGCCCATTTATCCTTTATTTGTTATTATAATACTTATTCCCATGCTGATTTTTCAGTGTCATTGCAGGCACTTTAGAAATCTAATATACTGATGTCTCTTTGTTTTCCAGATGACGCACCAATTGTTGTTCCAAAGAGAGGCAGGTCCACTAAAGTGTCAGTGTCAAGTGTTTTAATTTGAGATGATGCAAGAATTTGGATGCTTTTTATCATGGGGAACAACATTCTGATTGGCTTTGGCAGACAGAGCCAGTGCTGTCAGTAGCCAATCCTGGAGCAGTGTCAGACATGTAATCACTGATTGGACAATCTCCACAATATGGAGTTTTATAGTAATTTATTATGCACATATTTTTTGTTATTGTCTTTAACGCCAACATTGATTTTGGGTACATTAAGAACTAACAAAAAATCAGGAACATCGTACCTGGAAGTCATGTGTGCCATCAACCATTCTGCTTTTCACCCGGAGAAGTCCTGCGGGAGGAGACAGAGGCACACATGAGACATGGAACGAAGAGGTTATGTTCTTCACTTTTAATTAACTCATCTAGCTACGGTTTACATTTCGAGTACATTTAAAGTACAAAGTTTAAAGTACATTTTTGACCTTTTTTATTGGAGGGGACCTGAATTGATTTTTTTTTTTTTTTTTTCAAATCGCTCACTCTCAAACTGTTTTCATCAAAACTAGCAGATGTCTGTGATCTGACTTTCCACTTTCTTCTTGTTTTAATGTTTTCTTCAATACTACATTTGAGCTGTCTGAGTCTTTTTAGGACAGATGAAGAAAACAAACACTAATGTTACCATGGCATGATTCAGATACTAATTAGTTTGATGATATTTTTTTAAATAATGTTGTTACATATATTTTTGTTGCAATGGCCTGGTTCATGGCATGTTTTAATGTGCCATTTTTTTACTGTAATTATTCTTTTCTTTTTTTAAACAAAGGCAGTTTTTAGTGCATTCCCTCTGCTGTGATTGTTTCCCAGGGGATACTTTTAACATCATTTACAAACTTGCTTGCTAATCTTGTTTTGAAACTTTTCTAAATATTAAATTAGCAATGTAATCTTATTTGTGTCTTTTTGATTTTTTTGAATCTTTAAATCTGTTACTCTCTTTGCCATCTTAATAATGGCAAGTCCAACTTTTTTAAAACTTCTTTATCTCTCTGTCTCTTGCATGTTTGCGTTCTTTCTCTCTGCAGTGGCAACGATGACGATCATAAGGTTTTTCAGTTGCTGTGGTTTCCTGTTTGTAGGTGGGATATAGAGATGCAAGCCTGTTTGGTAAATTTGCTGTGAAAATTAGTCTCGTGAATGACTTATGAAAACTGAAGAGCCTGAATCGAAACATGCATTCTCCGTGAAGTGGAGCATTTGCTGGTTGTTGTTGTGCTTGTGAGAATATACTTTTACCTATATGTCATTCCTGTCAATTGTGTTTGTGTAGGCTACAAGAAAATGCCACAAGAGTGGGAGGCAAGACTGAGAAATTATGACTCACTGGCCGCCATAAATGAGGCACAGAGTTATCTCTTTCAGCTCTACACAGACAGTTTTATGTTTGAAATGTTATTTGAAGTGAAGTCAAGGAAAAAACTTGTTTAACTTTATTGTGACATTATAAAGAATTACTATTGTCTTTTAAAACGACCAGTTAATATTATTATTTGACATTGAAAAAAAAGTCTGTTTTCGTTCTAATGTGCTCAAATTCTCATCCTAATGAAAGATCTTTTGATAATCTACAATGTTTGAAAACAGGTTTTACAGAAAATCAGGCCTTAGTGGTCTGGGTTATGTTCTCTAACATCTGACAAATTATAAAAATTAAGAAACTAGGAAAACTAAAACAAGCAATCAAATCTGCATGACAACAGAAGAGCAAGAAAGCAAACCTTCAGATATGAGTGAGAGAGAGAGAGAGAGCAGCCAGTTAAAGAAATGAAAAGGGGGGAGAAAAGATGCTGACTGGTGCAAGTGATGGAACAGCGCTTTCAATGAGCCTATGAGGAGGCAGAGAGCAAGTGCAGCGAGGAGAGAAACCTAAAAGTTAAGTTCTTTGCAGCAAAGGCCCTGTAGATCAGGACGCACCTCAACGGCTCGTATGAATTGATAAAACGTAAGGAACCTCTCAGCAGATATGAGAGTATTAATAGACTGACTACCCGGGATTGTTCAAGTTTGGGCTGGGGGGTCATTTAGTAAACGGAGGGACAAATAGTGATTTGTGTGGGAGGAAGAATAAAAAATGGTGGCACCTTCATAGTGAGCTGTGAGTTAGGTGTGATTTTTACCATCTACAGCGTGCGTGTGAACTGGTCTCCAGTTTGGTTGCAGGTTTCTGCTGAGCAGAAAGTGTGGTGTCTTGATTTGACTTGACTTGACTTTGCTGCTTCTGATAGGTAAGCTTTTTACTTTTTCTGTTCACCAAGTAAAACTGTGACACAATAATATGTGGAATACTCTCAACGTTTTCAGTGATACGATACAGAGAGCTTGAGTTTGAGCAAAGTAATACTTATTTACATTTCGATTTCGACAAACTGAAACGCCACAAACTCTAGAGATCCGATATGATCATTGGAGATGAGGAACTTTGCAGTCCAAACTTTACTGTCAAACTTTTGGTTTTCTTCTGTGCAAGTAACATGTTATTGAGCACTAACGTGAAGAGCTTAAAAAATGAATTTAAATGGTGACTTTTCTTAATTTTGGGTGTGGACTTCATATAAAGAAAATAAACAGGTTTTTTTTTTAGTTCATCACATTATTTCGAAGTTTAATTTACTAGCTCAGTCACAAACTGACTGATACAGTATTAGCTGGCTTGTTATATGGCTGTAGTTTGATAATGATCGAAGGGTCTTCAACCGCAAATGAAACCTCGTTATTAAACTCAATTTCCGTTGTCAAGCCAATTGCATTTTTGCTCTTAGTTTTTTTTTCTCTTACGCCTTTTCTCAATGCATGCATTGGAGTTACGGATACTTTTATAATTTTATGCTTCTAAATTAGTAGTCCTGTTATGTTGGATTTGTTCATTATGAGTTTGTGGTTTGATTTGTCAAAATGACCATAATAAAGTATTGGGTGCAAAGAACATGCCAAATTTAAATGTACTTAAAATAAGAAGTGTAGGCCATCTGCTTTTTGGGGTTCTGGGTTGTAGTTCTCTATAACTTGACAGCTCTAGGATTAAGAGAGGCTCAAACCTCTCATAATATGTCGTTTTTTTTTCTTCGTCTAACTGCAAAATACAGGAAATCCGTTTCCTGGCACTGAATGCAACCACAGACAGCCACACACTTGCATATATAAAGGTGTGTATAAACTTGCAAGAAAGGTGATGCCGAGTGTAATTTCGCAGATTGAGAATTTGACTGATTAAAATCAGTTAAACGTATCATCTGAAAAGAGCTGACTTCTCAGAGATTTTTAGAAATGTTACAGAGAAGAAGAGCCTGTTTCCACTAAAATGAACACAGTGATTCATGGTGAGGTAATCAGGAGTTAGTTTTCTATCTGAGAGTTATACGTAATGATGTTAAATTAGCTGATACGCACAGACACACACACACACACACACACACACACACACACACACACACACATATATATATATATATATATATATATATATATATATGAAGAGTTCAGATGCAAAAGCCTCTAAGTGCCATTTGAAATTTTCTTCTAAAATGGTCATTTTTATCAAGCTTATATATTCAAGTTCAGTAATTTCACTTAAATGACAATTAATAGGTAATCCACATTGCAATTTAAGTGAAATTACTGAACTTAAATATACAAGCTTGATAAAAATGATCATTCTAGAAGAAAATTTCAAATGGCACTTAGAGGCTTTTGCATCTGAACTCTTCATATATATATATAGACTGGCGTTCAAAGAATACTGAAAAAACAATTTACACAACTGTTTAAGATCTATAATAATAAAAAAAATGAATGTTTTTTTATCAGCAAATCATTATATTACATTGATTTTTGAAGGATTATGTAACACTGAAGTCTGGAGTAATGAAGCTGAAAATTCAGCTTTGCATAAATTATTTTGAATTGTCATTTGAATTGTACAATTTTTTCCCAAATAAAATGCAGCCTTGGTGAGCATAAGAGACTTCGTTCAAAAACATTATCTTCCTGATCCCAAACTTTTGAACGGCAGTGAATATATATATATATATATGTGTGTGTGTGTGTATATATGCATATGCATATGTGTATGTGTCTATATATATTAGCAAGTTTATATTAAGTGCTGTTCAGGCCAAATATCTAAAATAAAAATAAAAACCTTTACATGAGTTTGTAAAACTAACATATTGAGTACTAACTTTAGGTTTTAACTTTATTTATTTTTATGTGGTCACATTAAAATGGTCTTAAAAAATGTTATCGTACTTTCATAATTTATATTTATGCATATCAAGTTTCTTTTTTGTGTGTGTATATTCTTTTAGATTTTTTTTTACCCTTGTCGAAACCTAAAACATGAAAAAATATATAGCAAAAACGTGAGAATTACATATTTGAAATTATAATAATCTAAAAAAAAGAGTTTATTTTCCTAAAAGTTGCATTATTTGTTAATCATGAAGGCAACGGTATCAGTGAAGAGTGAAATCAGACGTGATGAATAAAGAGAAATCAAGATAAATATCACTTATTCAAATATTTTAATAATGAGTCAAAATGTGAAAATAATTATCTTTGTGAACTTATGATGCACAAAATGCTATAGCTATAAAATAATCTTTAGCAGGGAGTTTGGCGGGGAGTTCATTTTATTCCAAAAATGTTTCAAATGTAATTTCCACAAAACACTATCAATCCTTTATTGTAGATGCAATAGACATTACAGGTGAGTTTTTATATATATATATATATATATAATTATTGTTTATGCTATATTTGACATTGTCTAAAGTCAAATTAGACAAATTTTTGTTTTACTAAATGATCACAGAGCTAAAACAGAAACTGAATTGTACATATTTTGTTTAAAAATTGGGATTTGGGCTGAAACTGTCCTAGTTGAAGAAACATTCTTATTTTCAAGATATGTTTTCTCGAAAAACTACTCCTACTTTTTGGTTTTATTGAAGTTGAGATGTTTTTACTGGAAAACAAGGTGATACTGATTAAGAATAGGATTTGTCCAGTGTCCAAGCAAATGATTAGTCAAAACAACAACACTGTTAGAAGTTCTGAAAGACAAAGATGCATATTTTAAATAAACAATAAAGCCTTTTTTAAGATTTATGAGATTTAATTAATTGTAAAAATTCATCAGATTGAATTGAATAATCCTTATGTATTTTAATTGATTAAGGATTGTGTCAGTTACTTACTCCAAATACATAAGGATTCACTTCAATCTGATGGATTGATGCATTATTAATTACATTTGTTTAAAAATTAGAATTATTTTGTTTGTGTACACACCCGGAGAGATGCAAGGTAGTTAAGGGATGTAAATGTGCATGGCGGAAATTAAAACACGTTGTTCTTCAAATTTAAGAAGAATATATTAAGTGATAAAAAAATAAAAAATAAATTATGAGAAACGTTTTAAAAAAGCTCATGATAGATCTGGATCTTCAGCTGTTTTAAAAATTTGTGTCGCTACATGAAAGAGCACCTAAACAAATCATCTCACTGTTATTTCATTTGTATAATTAAAATAGGTCAGTTTCATACAAACCGAATGAAATGAGTTCACCTAATTTTCATTTGCTGCTGCTTTATTTGTGCAAAATGAGCAAACATTTCTCTGTGTTAGTCACACTAACCTGAAACCACAGATTCAGAAGAGGGTTGTTGCTCTCCGTTATGACCTAGGCCTAATACTACCATAATCGATGTTCTCACATTGTCTTCTCAGTTATGGACTCCACTTCACTGCTGTCTGTAGTAGGCGGGGCTCTCTTCCTGTCAATCATACTTGCAACCAGTCTTTGTACATACTGCTGGCGGTATAAACAACCGAGTAAGTCCTCCTAACTCTCTTTAATAATGATAATAATAAAAAAATGTATCGTCAAAGCTTCATGCTAAAAAGGATGTAGGCCTATTTGTGATATGTTTCAATTAAACAAAATGTACAACCTGACTTCGCACAACTCTCAAATGACCCAAGATAGATTCGTTAGTTAGACTCTGCTTTCTACACCTGCTAGTATTTTAAACAATGGGCTGTCTGAATACTTGATTCTGATTGGCTGAAAGGTGCGCAATTAAACTGTACAGCTCAGTCAGACACGTTGTTCGGTAAAGCTGCAGTTCCCTCCCAATCTGTAACCATTCCTCCTTCATCACTTTAAAATACAGCATTCTGTGAAGAATTCAAATGGGTCAATTATGTTTTGTGGTCTGTGCCGACACGTGATCTTCTACTCTATCTCTGGACCGGAGCAGACTGTTTGCGCACTGCGGGAGTTTGCATGACTAATGTAAAACCAGACTTTATTTGCCCCAATGAAAAGCATTTACACTGTCTGAATCGTTCCCTATCCCATATATAACGCACTATGTGCTATATAGCCTACCATGTAGAAAATAGTAAATGTGTGAACAAATGACTGATTTTAGCAGCAGCTTCAGCATCTGTTTCTAACGTATAAGGGCTAGACGCTTTAGATCCTAGAGCATTTGATTGGACAGAAAATCTGATGAGAAGCTGAGCGTTGTCATCAGAGTGATGTCATCAGAATCATTGATCCATATTTGCGAAGTGAGAGACTAAGTTTTGAATGTGTATATCTTCTAAATGCGAATTTTGTCATTGTTTTGGAGCACACTAGATAACAGTAAGGCTAAAATATTAAAGGGAAAATTCTGTCAGTATTTACTCACCCTCATGTTGTTCCAACCCCGTAAGACTTTCGTTCATCTGCAGAACACGAATTAAGATATTTTTGATGAAATCTGAGAGCTGGATCATTCCTCCATACTTGTCCATAGGCTTCTTGAGGAATTGAAATTTGCCGGCCTCGAAAAGTTATTAATGACATTGTAAATAGTCCAAGTGACTACAGTGGCTCAACTTTATCAAGCAACGAGAACACTTTTTGTGCGCAAAAACAAAACAAAAATAACAACTTTATTTTAAATATTCACTTCCTTCTCTCTTGCACTCAAGTCAGGTTACTAGTATAACAGCGCATGATCTGTTGTTGAACGTCTCACGCATCAACACATAACCAGCGTCGGCCAATAGTGAGCCTACATGTGACGTAGCTCTACGCAATTACACTAGTTTAACTGAATAGAGAAGAAAGTGAATAGTTGAAATAAAGTCGTTATTTATGTTTGTTTTTGCGCACACAAAAAGTGTTCTCGTCACTTGATAAAGTTAAGATTGAGCCACTGTAGTCACTTGGTACATTATTTGGTTAGTATTTTAACAATGTCTTTAATAACTTTTTGAGGCCGGCAAGTTTCAATCCCTCAAGAAGCCTACAGACTATGGAGGAGTGATCCAGTGCTCAGATTTAATCAAAAATATCTTAAAGGTGGAATACCTAAGATTTTATGCCGCTAGAGGGCGCTACATTCAAAACAACAACAACGGCTTTGCTTGATGACGCCGTGGAGGAACGCGGAATGATGGGAACTGTTGTTTTCAACTCCACCGTGGATAAATCAGTCAGATGGGAATCGAAAATTAGTTGTCATGGATGAGGTAAAGTTCGATTTCTATAAATGTTGCGTTTAATGACATGCTTGTTTTTCATTAAACTGAAATAACCGCAAGAAAAGTCAGGTTTAAAAGTAAATTAGTTATCACAGATGTTACTGTACGAGTCACTGGACGAAGTGACTTATTTTTGTCTCAAATCGTTGCTAATGGATCCTGACTTCGCCCTATGCTGCAATATGCATTTAGTTTTGCATTCATTTACAGAAATCAGCTGCTTAACGCGGTAACGCGGATATGACGCGATTGACTGGCGACTCCCAGCTCACTCCTGCTCACACGCCCCGTTTCCTTGGTTAAAATCTAAATTTTCTCGCGATTTAAACATTATTTGAAACATTTGGAATATTGTAAGTTATCATCTTAACTAAATATATAACACTGGCCTTGTGATTTTGGTATATTTTAATGCAAAAATCGTAGTTATTCCACCTGTAATTCGTGTTCCGAAGATGAACGAAGGTCTTATGGGGTTGGAACAACATGAGGGTGAGTAAATACAGACAGAATTTTCATTTTTGGGTGAAATAACCCTTTAATATTAAAAGCCAAAAAATGTAATTGTAGCGCGCGCGCACACACACGTCACTAGCACACAGGAGCACAGAAATTTATCAACGCTGCCCCACAAATGTATTATTAATAATATAGAATATAACATAAAACTGAATCGCTACAATAAATTTACATCGCTAATTTACTAATTATTCTTAATTAGTTAAACTCACAGCTCTGTTTAAAACTGAGAGAGAGACGCTAAATAGATACGGGTACTCATCTTTCATCCCTCGCTCCTTTGATAATTAATTCAAATAAATGCTACAATTTACTCATTCAAATAAATGTATTCTTACTCAATATACTTTATCTCTGTGTCTGATTCAAAGTGGGCAGATTGCTAGATTATCTAACAAGCCGTAACCGAGGAAAATAACTGTCAATTTTACCCTCCCGGTCAAATATTGTTCTCCAAACATCAATAACAGCTTTAAGTTGTCAATGCTGACAAATGCCCATGGTATAAGCGGTATAATTCACAGATAGTTATTTTCATGCACTTCGCGGACCATCCGGTTCACGGCCGGTACTTAATGCCTCCACGTCGTGCATTAAAATCATTATCTAATTCTGTTAGCCCAACTTTGTAAAAAAAACTATTTAACTTTTAAGGTGAATGCATAATAATTAAAATCCATTGTAAAAGTATCATGCCATTGTTTAGTTTGTTTATGTGATATATTTTATTCACTTTACAGCATCCATCCCTCAGAGGTCCAGTGACTCCAGTCCAGCACCGTAAGAAATAAAATCTTGCTTAGCTGTTTTACAAATTTTGACATATAAAGGATCTTGTCTGCTACACTATTATATCAGTCATAATTATCATACATCTACATAATGTTTTTGTTTTAATGTGTTTGAAGCTCTATATGTATGTTTCCTCTTCAAACAGATTTGTGATTCGGCATCCCCAGTCGACATGTAAATAATTTGTCCTTTCTTCTAATACACAACAAAACCCATAAATTATTGTATAATCTGCATACAAATACATGCTGTTATCCTCCATTATTATTCAGATGTGCCCCATCAAGACACTCACAGGATTGGCAGTATACCTTACCCACTAGCCAAGTGAGTTTACACACAAACAAAGATATACTCACAGACTGTGTTGTGCTCCAGTGTGTTAATAATCACTCTTCCCTCAGTTCACTTAGTTCCCCATCTATTACTGTCACAAAGCTGCCCTCCTGCCCTCCCTCAGAAAGTGAGTAACATACAGTCATGGCCTTTGAGACAATATGATAATCGAACAGCTCCTGTGCAATGTAAAAATAAACTAATAACAGCACCGTATAGTATTTTCTTTACTCTTTACAATGTTTGCCATTGACTAAAAGGTGCTATGCAAGTAAATGATGAGAAGTCATATTATTAAGGCATGCATTTCCATTTTTTGTCTCTGTAGCTGGAAGTCAAGCCAGTTATGTGAATCAAAGCGGGGAGGAGGGAAGCAACAATCAAGTCGAAGACCATGGTAGGAAATCGAATTACACATTTTTGAGTAGTAATGTAGTGTATTGTAATTGTGCCTTATACATGTAACTGAGTTATTGGTGGCATGGAATATCTTTGTGAGTAAACAAATGTGTGTACATTAGAGTTTGACTGGATAATAATCCAGAATATGTGATTCTTCTCTAGACAGTGAAGATGAACTGAACAGGAACTACATGTAAGAATAGCACTCATTCCTGATCCCAAATCTTCACAAGTTGTTCCAAATTATAAGTTAGGCTAAATCTGAAAAAAAAAAAAAAAATAAATATGCGTATGAAACTGAAGGAAAATACATATTTTTGTCCTTCCAGTATTGTGCTTCCAGAATCCCCAGGCACACAGGCTTCATCCCACAGTTCAGGTAAAAGATCTGAGATTACACAAGGATAGGAATTTATTTACGTTTGTTTAAATATAAATAAAATCATCAGAAGATACTATTTGACAATTTATCTAATTTTGTAGAGAAAACTTATATCAATGAAGAGATAAGTGGCTCTGAGGATGACTCTAACTCAGGTAGGCTTACTACATGCTGAAAATAATTGCACAGCTGCAATACATATAGTTATATAATTATTTAAGATTCAACTCATTTTCAAAAAGTCAATTTAATTTAAATGTGACATATAATGAAAATCTTGTGCTATAACCGGGTCCCTGGTGCATCTCCCCAACCCACAAAACGTGAAAAGTGACAACCTTGTAACTTTGTTTTGGTAAACCTTTCTCTGCATATGTAAGAAAATAAGCTGATCGGATTTCACTCCCCTTCTGACATGGGAAGGGGGTTCTTTTATAATATTACCACCCCTTAATCGCCATTTGGCTTTCGCAAGCGACAGTGTAACCAGTTCTGCAATGGCAAAAGTTTGAGTAAAGCATGCAAACTGTTCTGTCGTTGGCTGTACAGATGAGTAGGCTACATAACACTATTTAGACTAGAGTTTATTTTTAACGGAAATCCCCCAGAAACAGATGAATCTATAGGGGCTTTCGCACCGGATAGTTCAAGGAACAGTTCTAGGAACCATCCACCAGGCTGTTTCCCCGATAACTAGTGGTTCCATAGCAACGTTTGGTTTTCCTGGTTGTTTTGACCACGCAGAGAGAGAACGCCTGAGCACACAGCGCTCCCATTATCCATCTTCATTAACTTGGTTTATGCTCCGTTTAACAATCCCGTCTATGTTAATAGATAGAACTTTTATACATAGAAAATAGACAGGAATGAAAAATGACTAGTTTATAAGCCGTGTGTGGTTGAGGTCGCTAGCTGAGCTGAACAGAAATACATTTTAAGGTCGCTAGCTGAGCAGAAATACATGTTTGGCTTGTCAATGTCCCCTCAAAGTCAAGTTGGATTTTCTCTTCAGCATAAGGTTAAGATGTGCATCTATCACTGTTTTCTATTTTGGTAGAGTTGGTTTCTGGAGTTAACGTTAGTTTCGTTCCTAGTTCCTGTGGTGCAAATGCGCCAAAACCGGGAACTTCCACCAACTATGAAAAGGTTCCTCAGGTGCGAAAGCCCTAATGTAACACCAACAACTATGTACAAATATAAATGGTCTACTAACCGTTCAGAAACGTCCTGGTGTGTCTACAAGTCACAACCTCTTCCAGAGTCTCCCTGTAAGGCTGAACTGGTTATTTCTGGGATTTTGGATGAGAGAGAATTCGCGTGTTTTATCCGAAAATTTGCCATCTTCTGAACTGTGGCGGGGAGTAGCAGCACATTTGCATTTAAAGGGACACACTCAAAAACGAAGCGTTTTTGCTCACACCCCAAAAGGGGCAAATTTGACAAGCTACAATAAATGATCTGGGGGGTATTTTGAGCTGAAATTTCTGACACATTAGATTTATATTACATCTTGTGAAAAGGGGCATAATATGTCACATTTAAGTTAAAGTGACTTAAACATCAAAGTTGATTGTACTTAAAAATTTAAGCCAGCAACTTTTTTACATTGTGTGAATGCTGTGGTGTTTTTACAGACTGTCACGATTATGAAAATTTACGGAATTCTTCAGAGCCCCATAACCAAACCTCTCGTAAGTGATTTAAAAAAAAAAAAAACTTCTACAAACTTTCAAAGTTTTTCTTTTTACATGGATAATCAGTGGACAAACAAAATGTTGATGATTAAGTGACATCAATTCATAAGCTTTAGCACTATACTTGAAGTTCACGTGAACTGAGTTATACAGTTACATGAATAGCAATATGTACTGATTCATTTGTCTAACTTTTATATATATATATAAATGCTCAACCCTAATAAATATTATTTTTCATTTTCATAATCCTTCCCTCCAACAGGTCTGTCCCGTGGAAGTGTGAGCAGTGATGATGATCGGGGCAGCTCTGATTATGTCAACACAGAGCCTAACTTATTATGATCCAGGTACAACACAGCTCTCAAATTTACTGTCCTTCCCTGTCTGACATTTTTGAATTTTTCAATAAACCAATAAAACTTTTTCTCCAGGATTTACCTTTTATCAAGTGAGGTGGTTAGAGGCCTGAAAATCATCCCGTCTCCAGATATACCCATGCTTTGAATTTTGAAGTGGAGCACCACCAAGAAAGCATTGAACCACTGCCACCTCACAGAAAACTCCACTTCCTCCCTCTGTCTTGCTGACGATACCTGAGAATATCTTTTTTTTACATATTTGCTGTTTACTACGCATCCAGGCTTTTGCCGCCAAAAATGAGTGCAGAGAATCTCTTTGTAATATACAGCTTTTATACAGTCAAATGTTTATAACATTTAGTTATTGGTTTGTAAATGTGGAAATAAAGTTAATCACTAATTTACATCATGTCTGTTGCTATAATATGGACAGAAATTTAATGTAAGAAAAACTTGAAAGGCATTTTCTAGGCACTGAATGCAGTAAAAATAAAATCTTTTTTATAAAAGAATTACATTTAAAACAAATCATGAGACAAAACGAAAAAGAGAGTTTAAAAATTTATTTTTATAAACTTTTTTTTATTTTTTTGTTCTTTTTTTAACCATTTATTTGCTTATTTAATAAGGGGGTTGAGGACAAAGGGAGAGGTCACTGTATTTTTTATAAAAATGTCCCTCATTCTTTCCATTTTTTGTCTTGCTCACTCGTTCCCTCTTTCTGATTTAGACACTTGTGTCCCCATCCACTCAAATTAAAAATAGCAAAAGGGAGGGGAAGGGAGGGGGGATAAAACAAGCACATTCAGTCTTGCCAAAGGTGAATAAAAACAAAATCTTTTTTTTTTCTCCATTCGTAGAGCAGGTGGAGGGTATATACACATGTGCGATCCCACAGGAGGATCACTCTGCTCATTCTCCATCTCAAAAGTCACACTGTCAGTTTCCAGGAGGGTGGTATGGAATCTGCTGGGTAGGATGAGGCTGCACAGACACTGATGAGAGCAGAGAAAAATAGAAATCAATAATAAAAAAAAAAACTTGTCTGCACATAGCTGCATATTAAACATCAAATTTGTATAATTAGCTGATTTTAGTAATAGAAAACAGAATTGTAGATAGCAAATTTACAGTCACATAGCACGCTCATGCAGGAAACTCACCCTGAGGATGTCCAACGTAGGTGTAGTGCTGGTGGGGCCCCTGTTGGGGTGGGGGAGGGCCGTGCTGGGGGCCAGAACCCTGTTGAGGGGGCGGGGCATGCAGCAACATCACAGGTTGTGGGCCATGACCTCCAGAATGGTGAGGGCCCGAGAGAGCGCCTTGAACATGGGCCTGAAATAAAATATATACTTATTTGTATTATGTTTGTGTATAATTGTATCTTAAAATATTACAATAGAAAATGTATTCCTGTGATGTCAAAGCTTAAAGGGCATACTGCAGGTTAGAGGACCCAACAAGTCAATGTATAGAAAAATAATGTAGGAACTATATTTTCTCTAAACTAGACATACAAAAAAGGACTCCAGAAGCTTCTGTGTACTTCCACGTCTGAAAAAATGGGCGTGGCGGGCATGACAACAGGAAAACAATTGATCGCAATGACATTTCGGACGCTGAGGAAATACTTGTATGACGGACCAGAGGGATCAGTACTTTACTCGAGTATCATTTTTGGGGAGTACTCATGACTTTACTCAAGTACACTGAGAGGAAATATTGTACTCTTTACTCTGCTACATTTCTAGCCAGAACCGTGAGTACCCGTTACTACTAAATTTTATTTTATTTTTTTTTTAAACGTGATTTTTGAACAACAGAACTCAAAAAGGAAGAGGTGTGCAGGTCTTACATTCGTTGGATAGGTCTTAAAAATGGTTTTAAAATGGAAATCCTGATACCTGCACACCACTTCCTTTGACTTATGCGAACACAAAATCACCCTGCTCAGAGATTTATGAATGAACACATTTCTGGGTTTAAATTAAATATAACAGGGTAAAGGTCTATAGATGTACCTAAGGAGACTGTAGCAAACAATTTTAGCACTACCATTTGCTCCAATGGTGAAAAAAATTCCACAATTGCCTTGACTTTCCAATAAAAAAAAATAACATCATGGCAGTCAGATAGAAAGAATTTAAATGTACGATCACTGCCACGACAGCTGTATTAGAAACACCCTCATAGCACTTTTTGCATAGTGCTTTAAAAATGTAAAAAAAAAGTTTTTTTCTAAAAATCTATATTTATTCAATGTAAGAAAATAAGTCAATATTTATTTTTAGAGCAGCACTTGGTGTGCCTACAGTTTCAAAAAATGTGGGTGTTCAACTTTGCGTTTTAAAAATACAAATTCGAAAAACATATGGATGCAAAAGTACACGGATCAATTGGTAATTTTAATGCTTGTTAATGAAGAATTTCTGGAGAATTAGGATTAATATCAGTATCGGCAAATAGCCAAAGCTGCGCATCGGTCTCGGAAGTGAAAAAGTGGTATCATCCCCAGTTGACACTGAAATTCATCCAAAGCAGACATGCACTGTTGAGAAACATGACTGCTGATGTGGAAGTGTCTGTGTGTGGTTGGTCATCACCTGTGTCAGCGGTCCTAGAGATGAGTACGGGTGAGGCATGGGCTGGTGTCCCGACAGACTGTAGCCCTGAAGGGAGTAGGGGGCCTGTGGGGAGCTGTGACCTGGGGGCATGTTAGGGGGTGTAGGGGCTGACAGCGGCCCAGAGTGGTACAAAGACTGAGGCTGAGGACCAGACTGACCAGACTACAAAAGACAGTCAACACAGAACATATTTAGTATCACTACCAAAGGCATCTGAAATTTAGTGGGTATTTTTTGAATGAAGAATTTTCTTTTTAACATAAAATATTAAGTTCTTTCAGTGAGAGTTTGTGGAATAGGTGTGTAGTTGCTATTGATTGGTAGGTGGACATACCTGTCCTGGACTGGGGGCGGGATGTTGGGGCGGCTGGCTGCCTGTGGGGGTGCTGGAGGGCTGAGGATGATGAAGGGAACCAGAGTGATGGGAGAATGACTGCGGAGCTGAAGGAGAAAGAAAAAAAAAGTATATAGTTGACGACATAAAACCCCCAAATCAATCCATTCCACAAAATCACAAACAAAATAAAAATTGAAATGCTTACCATACATCCCCTGCTGAGGGGCTGGCGGTCCTTCAGTCTGACCAGGGTACTGTGGGCCTGGGGGACCCAGTGTCTGTGGGTGCCCTCCCGATCCAAGCATTCGTGGTCCGCCCTGGAGCATTGAGTACATCTAAGAAAGAGAGAGAGAAATAACAGGGATTTTTTTAGTGAAGGTAGCCATCCACAATAGAATTTAAAAAAAATCTTGTTTGATTGAAATACTAGAAGCATTTGTTCTACCGGAAACGTGAAGGTTGGTACCTGTCCAGGGTAGTGGGGCATTGCTGATATGACCTGGTTGTACTGCAGATATGAGGGAGGGTAAGGAGATGCCACCAGAGGAGGTCCTGCTGCTGATGCCGCGGCCTGGAGCATAGGGGGCGCTGAAGAGCTGTGGTCTGGACGAGAAGTCACCACAGAACCTGAGAGACAGGTGGCAGAAGTAATAAATGAATATGCAACACTTTTTATGAGTAGAGTGCAAACTAAGGCCTGAATCTTTATTATTAATGATAATATAAAATGTAATATTACAATACAATCAGAAAAATATATATTTTAAATACAACATTTTTACCATAAAACACATTACCATACAACAAGATTAATGCAAAAATAATAGTTTTATGCCCTATTTTGTTATTAACATTATTATTATTAATAAGAATCCATCCAAATTAAGAGTTTCAGGCCCTGTTGATACAAAAATGAACTAATTAAGAAACCGAAATTAACCCATTTAATCCATTTAATTATCCAGCCCTACCGCCAAGTGTCCATGATAGTCACGTGACTGCAAAGTGTGAATTGTAGGTGTTGTCGTTTTTAACAACATTTAAAATAATCTGCATTGATCCGAATACATTGAATTGTACTGATACAATTATTATCACTACTACTAAACTATAGAGAATAAGTACAATCAGTAATGAAAAGTTCAACGTAAGCATTACCTTTTGCTCTTGGGTACTTCCCTTGACCAACATTTGTCATGGCATACGGGTACATCTGAGGTGCCTAGAAAAAGGGAGTAAAAAAAAGGTCATAACACCTACGTTTCAAACTACACTAAAAGATGTTTTGAAAATGAGCAATAGGGACAGAGACCTGTACGGAGTGACCCTGTATCTGGATGGGCGAGACATAGCTCAGGTACTGGGTGTTGTAAATGGCTCCCTGGTTTGGTGGGGGCTGCAACACCACTGTTGGGCTGGGCGGAGTTGGCCGTGGGGGGGTGGGAGCAGCTGAGGGCTTCACCTGCAAAATAGACATGGCACACTTAGCGTTTTAACGGCTGTATAAAGGAAACTAAACAGTGAAAATCAATGCTCACCATGCTGAGAGGAGCCTTAGTGGGGTTGAACTCTTTGGCGTTGGGGTTGAGTGTAGATTTCTTCACTTGACTGCATCGGAAAGAGTTTTGAAATGCGTTGATTACCAACAGACTTAATATGTGATTAGTAAATCAATTAAGCCAAGTATTCTAAAATGGTGTACTTACTCAGTCATTCCCTCTGACCTCTCAGCACCCTCTGGTTTGCCCTCCTCACTGCCTGGGGTCCCGGGTTGGGGCGTCCCTGCTGTTTGCCTTTCTGCAGTTGGATTTTGCATGGCAGTGCCAGATAGGGCAGAGATGGGTGTGGCTGGTGGAGGGGTGGTGGTTGCCACCCCTTCTGCATTTGTCTCTCTACTTCTCTCTTCTGCTGGAAGCTCAGCGGTCAGAGATGTGGGCGGGGCTGCTTTAGCATCTGTAGAAGGGGTGGAGTCTGCTTGCGTGTTGTGGGCGGGGTTTGTTTGAGAAGAGTCAGTGGCCAAAGTTTTGGGGTTGGAATGGCTGGAACTAGATCGAAGCTAAAAATCAGAAAGTTTTAAATTGTTAATTCTCTTAAACATTTATTTTACTGACAAAACTACAAAGGAAAGATTAGCAATGTTTCCACTAACCTAAAAAACTGTATTCTGTAAATATAATTCTTTTTTTTATTCTGTTGGGTGCAACACTCCAAAAAAGGTTGGCAAAAAAATGAAAAGGTTATATAATGGAAAATGGTCCACAATAAGTAGGTGAATTGGTAATAAGCGAGGGTATCATGATGGAGTATAAAAGGAGCATCTTAGTCTTTGAAAGCAAAGATGGTTTATGGCTCGTCACTTCGTGCCAAATGTTAATGAATAATTGTCAAACAATTCAAAATCAAAATGTAAGTAGTTCAGAAGATCATTGGAAATCTTTTCTTTGTACTGGGTTTAAAAAGAATAACTAACCACATGTTTGTATTCATTATACATTTTACAAAGTGACCCAAGTTTTCTGAAAATGGGGTTGTAATTTCATATTCAAAAGAAGTATGTACTCAGAGTATTCAATTTCAGATCCAGCCTATGACACACTCACCCTAAAATCAGTACCAAACTTGCGAAGCTCCTCAAGGTCTTGTGATCTCTGCTGGACTGTAGAGACTATGAAGAGACAGAGAAGAACATTTATTGGCTAAATGACAAGTGCATGTAATGAAGCTACCAAGAATAATAACTTCAGGATTACCTTTACCGCTCTTGCCATCCTGAGGACTAACTGGACTCTCTGTCCTTTCCTTAGACAGAATTTCATTCACTAAAGTGAAAGAAAGAGTTAAGATTGTCGGACACATGTATAAATGAACAGTTTGTAACCACTCAAATTTATAACATCTCACCATCTACAGGGAACAGAGGGGTGGGGCCAGTGGGTTTAGGGGAGACCATGGTAA